AGTGTGGGAAGGCCTTCAGCCAGAGCTCGCACCTCCTCAGACATCAGATCATCCACACCGGGGAGAAGCCCTACGAATGCCCGGAATGTGGAAAAGCTTTTCGCCAGAGCTCGGCCCTCACGCAACATCAGAAAACCCACACTGGGAAGAGGCCTTATGAGTGTAGAGAATGCGGGAAAGATTTCAGTCGGAGCTCGAGTCTCAGAAAACACGAGAGAATTCATACCGGAGAGAAACCTTATCAATGTAAGGAATGTGGGAAATCCTTCAACCAGAGTTCAGGCCTGAGTCAGCATCGGAAAATCCACACCCTAAAGAAACCTCACGAGTGTGATCTCTGCGGGAAAGCCTTTTGTCACAGGTCCCACCTCATTAGGCACCAGAGGATTCACACTGGGAAGAAACCATACAAATGTGAAGAGTGTGGGAAGGCCTTCAGCCAGAGCTCTAACCTCATCGAACATCGGAAGACCCACACCGGCGAGAAACCATACAAATGCCATAAGTGTGGGAAGGCCTTCAGCCAGAGCTCNATGGGCCAGTGAGCTGTGCCCAAGTTGAGCTGCTGCTGAGCTGCCAACAGGTGGCAGGATGGCTCAGCTGGAGAGAGCACGTGCTCCTAACAAGGTTGCTGGTTGGACTTCTGCATGGGATTGTGGGCTATGCCCACCCGCAACTAAGATTGAACACGAACACGGCACCTTGAGCTGAGCGGCTGTGAACTGCCGGCGGGTGGCTGGATGGCGACTGGACTTGGAGCTGAGCTAGCTGCTCCCTCCACAGCTAAAATTGAAGGACAACAACTTGGCTGTTCCCGTTCCCCAGTTCCCCAACACTGTTCCCCTTCCGCAATACCCCAATAAAAAAATCTAAAAAATATAAAATAATAAAATAGTCTTTGCGAGTCACACTGAGGACTGAGCTGCAGAATGGCAGCAGAGACCCCTTCAGTAAAGCCTCAGGAAAGGAACAGGACAGGACCTGTGGGTGAGAAGGAGAAGGTCTAGGCTGACTTCCAGGGTTCTGTCTGGGGCACCCAGCTACCTGGAGGGGGTGCGACTAACCTAGTATATGAGGAAAGTGTGAGCTCTCTTTCTTTTCCAATAACCCCCCATTCCCAACTTACTCCAGTAACTGGAGTATTGCCCCTTTTCCATATGGCTCCACTTCCTGTTCTAGCCCACCTTTCTGAACACCCTCAGCCTTAGGAGTCTAGACACCATGCTGTGGTGCTTGATTCTGTCTTTCTCTCTGTGTTTTTGCAGTTTCTGATAAACTAAAATTGTCTCTAACTAGTGGGGATCATCTCAAGGGCAAGATTGTATCTTACGCTTATTTTGTTATATCTACCATAGATTCTGGCACAGGAAGGAAGCACATACTAGGTGCTTGACTTGCTGGCTTGACAGTGTCCCTTGTTTTCTTTTCAGATTGTGAGAACAGTAAGTGTGTCCCAAAGAAGAACATTTTTTCAAGAAATACAGTCATTGGGGATAATACTAGATCCACAATGGAGGTTCCCCCAGCATCCAAGCTTGGTGAGACCTTTGTGTTTGAAGATGGGTTAGAGATGCAGCAAGAACTTTTCTCAGAGGAGGACCTGGGGGACTCTTTTCTTCAGGAAAGAGGTTTAGAGCAAATGGCTGTTATCTACAAGGAGATCCCTCTTGGGGAGCAAAACGAAGAACATGATGATTATGAGGGAAATTTCAGCCTGTGCTCAAGCCCTGTTCAACATCAGAGTATCCTCCCAGTAAACAGACCCCAAGATGATGAAATATTTGGCCAAACCTTTCTCCAGAAATCAGACCTTAGTATGTGTCAGTTAATCCATGGTGGAGAAGAACTCAGTAAACACAATTGTGAGATAGTGGGCAGCGGGGACTTAGGACCTAATGAGCCTCACAGAACTGCACAACCCGCAAAACCCTATGCGTGCCGGGAATGTGGGAAGGCCTTCAGCCAGAGCTCACACCTCCTCAGACACCTGGTGATTCACACTGGGGAGAAGCCCTACGAGTGCTGTGAGTGTGGGAAGGCCTTCAGCCAGAGCTCGCACCTCCTCAGACATCAGATCATCCACACCGGGGAGAAGCCCTACGAATGCCCGGAATGTGGAAAA